ATACCATGGCATGCCCAAGATTATGTTTATACTGGATCACAATGGACAGGGGAGAAGAATGTCCGGGTCCAGTGTTTGATGTACTTCACGTAAGTACTGTATTTCCTTTCAAGGTCATAACTTTTAAAATAGAATCTCTCAAGATAGCTTCTCTTCGTTTCTGCATAGTCAATAAATACAGAGTCAGGAGCAACTATTTAGACAATTGTCCCATGGCGTCATTGGATTCTTGTGCTTGATTTGGGATCACTGGCAAACTGTCACATGTCAAGATGCTGCAGGGATGGAGCAGTGGAGAGGAGGGGAGATGAGCTCGGGAGGCCCTGGAGTCACTGGAGCCAGCAGCTGAAGTCTGGGTTTTTTCTCAAGTGAAATCAAAACCATCACAGGTTTTAAGGCACAGTATGATCTGGAAATGAATGGCAAGGAAGCAGAGCAGCTAGGAGGATGGCAAGGGGGAGTGGTGGCAGAGGCCCTGACCCCAGGCCACATCTGGGATGGAGAGACAAGGAGATTGGATGGAGGAGTCAAGGCCAGTGCTGGCACTCCAGTGTTCTCTTAAACGCCTTCTTTGCTCCCACTGTCCACTGACTCTGCTGTCGCCAAGATCATCAGTGACTGCCCTGATGCTGAACTCAATGGTCAGTGTCCAGTCCTCACCTGCGGGGCACCCAGCAGATTCCTCACACTCTCCTCCAGCAGCCCTTTCTCCACTTGGCCCCCAGGACACCACACTATCTAGATTTTCTTCCTTCTTCTCAATCTCTTTTGTTAGTTTTTCCTCTTCCTTCTGATTTCTTTTCTTTCTTTCTTTTTTTTGGCCAGGGCTAGATTTGAACCCACTACCTCTGGCATATGGGGCCGGAGCCCTGCCCTCTTGAGCCACAGGCGCCGCCCATTCCTTCTGATTTCTTACCATTGCTGAGATGGGTCCTTGGTCCTGCCCTCTCCACTCAACACTTGCTCACGCCCTTGATGAGCTCACTCACCTGTGCCATTGTGATTCTGATGATTCCCAAACTTGTAGCTCCAGCCTGGCCCCTCTCCCTTGACCCCCAGACTCTTATATCCAATGACTCCTTAGCATTTCCACCTGGAAATCTAATAGGCCACCTTGAACCTAACATGTCCAAAGTCAAACTCCTGACTTCCTTCTCCAAACCTAAACACACACACATTCTCTCTCTCAATTGATGGCAACTTTCACTTTCCGGTGTTCAGGATAACATCCTGGGCTTTTCTTTTTCCCTCATACATACAGCTGGAAATCTGTTTGCATTACCCCCAAGGTATATCCTCATCGTCCTACAGCTACCAGCCTGGTCCAAGCCATCATTATCTCATGCCTGGATTGCCCTGGGAGCCTTCAAATTGGGTTCTCTGTTCCTCTATAGCCTATTCTCAACAGAGCAGAAAGGAATCCTTTTTTTTTTTTTTAGTAAGACTTAGAGATATTTACTGGGTAGCATTTGAGTAGTACAAGATAGTACAGAACAGAGTAAACCCACACAAGGGGACACCATCAGCGACTATGACAGGGAGTTAAGGAGAGCAATTGGGGAATACATCCTGGAAGGTGGAAAAGCATGGGACATGTGTTCTCATTCTCCAGATACCAGTGGCTTCTTATGGCCCTTGAGCAATTGAGCTCCACCCCTAGAAACTTCAGTTTGCTCAGCTTTAAAACAGAAGGTGAGAATTAGGTGAGGAGCCTCTAAGGTCTTCCAATTATAACAAAACACGATTCTAAAAACAAATGCAAAAAACCAGGGAAGGTGAGGATATTACAGGAAAGACAAAGTATAAGCACAAAGCCACAGAGGGAGGAAAAAACTAGTTGTTTGTGCATGGACAAGGTATAATGTGGGGCAGCACACAAGCCTGTTTATCTATTCTAAAGGTTCTGAAGACAGTAGCCTTAGAAATTGATGAAACACAGTGCTAAGCCCGGTAAGGGATCCTAACCTGGGGCCACAATGGAGAAAGAGATAAAGCAGTCAGAGTCGGACTTCTCTTCATGCTCCCGGCCTCACTCCATTCTTTATGTTTTCAGGGAACTTTATTACAACCCCTTCCCCAAATACAGTAAGAAGAGGGTGTGGTTAAGACACTTTCTCTTTAGGCTCGCACAAGCAGCCCCTTTTTGTGCGCCAGGAAGCCCAGAGCCACTGCTGAAAAGATGCTGGTCAATCCAATCAGCTTCAGCAGGCCTGGCACAGAGGGCAGATGTCTCTCCAAGAAGGTTGTAGTGATGGGTCGCGCAGGAACATCCTGGATTCAGAGAACATTTGGTGTTGGTACAGGGCTTGGCACTTCATTCCAGAAAGTCTGTTTCCTCCAGCTCTCTGAACATGACCCCCTCTTGTCAACCTCTAGGCCATTAACCATAACATTCTCTTTTCCCCACTGGGCCCTTTACTTCATTTCCTTAGGAAGCCTTTCCTGACCCCAGCCTAGAATGGATCTCCTCTTTTTACATTTCCCCTCAGCATGTTGTTGTCATTGTACTTGTACTTTTTGGTGATTATCTGCATTCTCCCTCAGATGTGGAGCTCCAGGAAAGTGCTGCTATGCCTTTACCATAATGGCTGATGCTAAACTTAAGTATCATAAGTATTTGTTGGGTGAATGAACCAATGTCCTCCGCAGCACACAATCCCATCTTTAGTAGAGGTACCGGGAAAATGATTTTGGAGTGGCTGAGTCTATTCTCTTTGACTTCACACTTAAAAAGACAGAAGAATAACTGTAACCTTTTAAACCTTGTCCTCCACAATGTGTTTTTACTCTACCCTCTAGATATCCCTCCTTCCAGTCAAGAAAACTTCTTTGGGCATTGTTATAAAATGATAAATATATTAAAAATGAATTTTTAGTCTAAATATGCTCTGTTTCATTCCAACCCTTTGCCCTTGGTCAGGGGATGTTAACACCTTCCTTTCGAGGATCTTTAAGTTAGACATTAATATTTATTCAACTGGCATTTACTGAGTTCCTAATATGTCTAGAACTCTCTGAGCAACGTCTCCCCCTCCACCAAAAAATATTTTTTCCTAATAATCTGCAATGGATGTGGCAGCAACTAAGTTTTCAAAGTTTGTTTGAATCTCTCACCTCTGCCCTAACCCACAATACCTATTTAAACATTCATGGGTTGAATCACTTTAGGGAAAGATTTGTGAATAATACAGATGGGCTCTTCTTGCAAATAATTCTTTTTAAAGGAAGAGATCTAAATTCATGAAATAAATACTTTGATTTAGCCTACCACTGATTCTGGTTCTGACTGCCAGATTTCATCCTCTGGAATCTTCCCCACAGCATGCAGGATCTGAAATGAAGCAGTTATCTTGGTAAACAGCAGAAACGATACCATCTTTCTCCTAATCTACTCTCTAAATTAAGGACTCAGTGACTCTTTACCTTGGGATATCCATGAAAACACCCAGGTAAAGGCCAGAGACCTTTAAAAATCTCTAAAAGGTCTTTCACCTATGATATAAGCGGTCTCAACAATAGGCTTATCATAAATTGTAATGGTTGTGAGCATGCCTTAATAGGAATGAGGTCATACAACATGTCAAGAAATCTTTCCTGTGAAATGAATGAATGAATGAATACTGAGCCCTAATAGAAACATGTTTGGTTCTGTAAGACCTAGGTAGCCCTCAAGTATAGCCATGGTGATTTTTTGCTCCCTGAGCTCTTTTTACCTTGGGTGACATGTTAGATATCTTCATTATTACTTTTGAGTTAAGGTGTTTACTTGAGATGGCTGTTAAAATGGCATTTCATGAGTATCCAGATGGGGGTTACTGAGAAGTTGGCCTCCAGGATCTCAGACAATCTTTGATGTGCATATCAAGCCCATTGATTGCCTCTTTCCCCACAGCCCATGACCCCCAGACCCTACCTCTCGGGCTGCTCTCTCCCCAGCCTCCACAGCTCCCTCCATGTAGCCACTCCAGTGTGTGGCAGTCTCAGTGCCCGCAAAATAAATCCTGCCCACTGGTTGGCGTAGTACCCTTGGAACAAAAACAAAGAGATAAAAGTGGTCAGTCTCAGAGAGCCAGAGAAAAGCTTTCCCACAAAGATCAAGGCTGAGCGGTTTCCTCAGCTCTAAACATCAAGGAGGACATTGGCAATTACCAGCTCTTGCATGATCCTTGACACAGACAAAAGGAAGTAAAAACCAAAATCCACTCATGAACTATGAGTTTACCAGTAAAAAAACAAAACAAAACAAAATTGACATTAATGGAAGTAAAATATGTCTTTGTTTCATCTACATGAAATGAGAGACTACGGGAGCCCAGTCATGTACGTTCCCATTACAGCTCACCAGCTCTGGGCAAGATGACACATGCCTTCCCACCCCCCCAATTCCCTACTTGGTTATTCCACCAGTGAACTTGGCAAATCACTTCTTCTCACTGAGCTTTGGCTTCCCCATATTTTAAAGGGGATCATCCACTGACTTGTACAGCCTTTTCCATAACTGACATCTAACAAATCTCTGCGTCTGAATATGGCTCCATGACTATTATTTTCTGAGTATTTGCCTCTACTGATACTGAGTTTTACTGCCTTAAATAGTAACAGTTAACATTGGTTGGGTGCCAAGTATTCTTCCTAATGCACTAATCCTCACCACAACCTTGTGAGGTCAGTACTATTATCATTCCCATTTTTCAGGTAAGAACATGAAGGTAGACTGTGGTAGATAGTGTGATATACCACCCAGTTCCCATTCAAGAATGGAGGACTTATTCCTGGCTGCCAAGAGGGCTGCTGGAAGATGGTCTTCTGATGCCAGCTCTCTTTGGAAATTGCCTCTGCTGAAGAACACTTCCTCACCCTAAGTCATGCCTTCTCGCAGCAGCAATTGCATCCAGCGACTCATCATCATGAGCTGTAAAGTCCCTGCCCCAAAGCTCCCTGCAGAATCAGCTGAGGCCTTCACTGGAACTGCATCATAGCCCTACTGCTCTCTCTACCCATTCTTGTTTCCTTCCAGAATCTTCCCCTACATGTTAATCCCAAGGGTACCTCTAATATTTATCTGTCAACTGGCCATTGTTTCAGCGTCTGCTTCCTCAAACCTAACTAACCAGCAACAAAGACAAAGTAATTTGCTCTAGGTCATAGTAAGGGATAGACTTGATATTTGAACCCAAGCAATCAATTGGACTCTAAAACCAACAGGCTTAACTATCTAGTTATACTTCACTCTCTACCAAATTATTTCTTCAATCTTTTAAAGAACTCTATGATGTAGCTATTATTATCATTTTCTTATTTTACACTTGAAGAAACTGAGGCTTGGAGAAATGTACAGGGTTTTGCCCAAGAGCTAGACTGCCAAAAAACAGCAAAACCAGACTTTGAACCAGGTCTACCAGATGTTGTCTCTGTTTTGTTTGTTTGTTTTTTGAGACAGAACCTCAAGCTATTGCCCTGGGTAGAGTGCCATGGCATCACAGCTCACAGCAACCTCCAGCTCCTGGGCTTAAGCAATTCTCTTGCCTCAGCCTCCCAAGTAGCTGGGACTACAGGCACCAACCACAACGCCTGGCTATTTTTTGGTTGTAGTTGTCATTGTTTGGCAGGCCCAGGCCAGATTCGAACCTATCAGCTCTGGTGGATGTGGCTGGCACCTTAGCCACTTGAGTCACAGGTGCCACCTGTTGTCTCTGTTTTTATCCTAAATATTTTGCCTGGTGTATCATCATCATCATCACACATTAACGTATAGTGCTCCTATGCTATGCAGGGGACAGAAGTGTCATAGCACTTTGCCTATAAGAGGGGCAGTTTGCTGATATTTTCTTTCACAAAAATGCCATAAGGAAAGCACTGCCCATATGCCATTATTCATCCTATCTCAAGTTTCCATTATATCAGATAAGGGATGTCAAGAGCGAACACCCACACTCCATCTTAGTCAACACTGTATACATCTAGGCCTTTTAGAAAACTAAACAGGCTGGCCTGAATTGGTAGGTTTTCCTTTGCCTGTCCTAATTGTAGTCATCAAGGAAAAAAGGGAAGGAAATATAAGGAAAAATATCATAGAACACAGATGATCACTGACCTATGATTTTTCGGTTTTTTTCCTTTTGTTTTTGGCCGGGGCTGGGTTTGAACCAGCCACATCCAGCATATGGGGTCTGCGCCCTACTCCTTTGAGCCACAGGGTGCCCCCCAGACCTACGATTTTTCAACTTTATGCTGATACAAAAGTGATACACATTCAGTAGAAAGTGAACTTACAGTACCCATAAAACAATTGTTTTTCACAGTATTCAATAAATTACATGAGATATTCAACACTTTATTATAAAAACAAGCTTTCTGTTAGATGATTTTGCCCAATTGTGAGCTAATGTGTTTTGGACACATTTAAGGTATTCTAAGATATGATGTTTGGTAGGTTAGGTGTACTAAGCATATTTTTGACTTACAGTATTTTCAACTTATAATAGATTTATTGGGATGTAACCCCATTGTATGTCAAGAAGCATCTATATCATTATACTGATAATACATGGAGTAAACCTGAAATTATCAAAGGCCTAAGGGGATTCAGGAAGGACTTCCCTGCAAGAGAAGCTGGATTTACTTTTTCCATTTTTCAGAGGAAACTAATCCTAGTTGGAGAGCTCTGGGAATTCTGGCCAAACCCTAGAGTGAAATAGGAGATTGAACAAAGGCTGAGAGAACTAATCATGCTAATAATCATAATGTAAAATGTAAAAACCAAGAATTAATTTTTTTTTTTTGCATTTTTTGGCAGGGGCTGGGTTTGAACGTGCTACCTCTGGCATATGGGGTTGGCACCCTACTCCTTTGAGCCACACGCGCCACCCCTACCAAGAATTATTATTTTTTTTTTTAGATGGAGCCTCAAGCTATCCCCCTGGGTAGAGTGCCATGGCAT